TCACCGCTGTAAACCTATCCCAGAAGCCACATCTCCGAATGTAAGTATTATGTTAGTGTAAACCTACCCAAGACGCCACATCTCCGAATGTCAGTATTATGTTAGTGTAAACCTATCCCAGAAGCCACATCTCCGAATGTCAGTATTATGTTAGTGTAAACCTATCCCAGAAGCCACATCTCCGAATGTCAGTATTATGTTAGTGGACCACCGACAGGACCGGAACAACAATGGCTGTGAAGAGCATTGAAAAACTTCCCCCAAACAAGCCAAGTTCCGAACACCCCGTGTGCGATTGGAGCCAGGGCCCTACAGTCCGTGGTTCGGCATGATGCCCACTGAGCTGACTGACTGCACCCACAACTTGTCTATGTGGGGATCCAACTCTCCACTTTTGTGTGCAAGGCTGGGAGTCAAATCTTCACAACACAGAAGTCGGCACACAACAGATCATAGGTCGGTAACCTTTTCTCGAAGCCTGGTGTCCCTGGCCTAGTGGTTAGCCTCTCGGACTCGCAACCCTAAGGTCGTGGGTTCAAATCCAGTCAGGACCCGACGTTGTGTCCTTGGGAGAGGTATTTTACACAAATTTTTCTCACTTCACCCAGGTGGGAATGGGTACCTGGCTACAGATAGCGAAAGATCTTGTCGGTCTGTAAGTGTTTGAGCGCTTAATTGCCTGCTTGCACTGTATGCTTCCCTAATACAGTTGCGAGAGCCTTAAAACACTTACCAAAAAATACATACCCATTCTTATATTGTTATTGTTGTTATTGTTATGAAGATGACGATGATGATGATGATTATCATTATTATCATTATGATGAAGATGATTATTATTATTATTATTATTATTATTATTATTATTACAAGACATTTAGGAAGCCGGCCCCGGCTGTACACAGCAGATAATGATGAGAGATGAGTAAATTATGGAGAGTGATGAGAAGATAATGGTGAATGGTGAGTGAAGAGTAGGTAATGGTGAGTGAAGAGTAGGTAATGGTGAGTGAAGAGTAGGTAATGGTGAGTGATGAGTAGGTAATGGTGAGTGAAGAGTAGGTAATGGTGAGTGATGAGTAGGTAATGGTGAGTGATGAGTAGGTAATGGTGAGTGATGAGTAGGTAATGGTGAGTAGATAACATACCTTGACACGTTGGAAAAGGAACTAGCACAAATACTGACACAGTCTAAAAGTACACAGACCCAGCGGTATATATAGTGAGGTTGGTTATCGGATCCCAGGACATGAATAAACATGTTTCTTTCCATGAGGGCGCCTAATCAAGGGGAAAAAAATCAGCATTGGGCACTGTTGAAATATAAGTGGGTGGTGATGGTGGTTGTGGTGGTGGTTGTGGTGGTGGTGGTGGTGGTGGTGGTGGTGATGGTGGTTGTGGTGGTGGTTGTGGTGGTGGTGGTGGTGGTGGATTTATGGCAGTGCTTGATCCTCTTGCGAGAGTCCGAGGTCAGTTTGGAGCGTCGTCCGAGACGTACTATTGTTTTGTATTTGTTTTTGTCCGAGTTTTACGGCACTTTACCACGCAATTAGGTCATCTATAAGAGCAGAGGATTAGAGGTGTTACAAGGGAGTTTGGTTTTAGTACAAGTTTTACGCCACTTGCAATATAATAAGGTAATCTAAGTGCCCAAGATTAGAGGTGTTAGAAGGGAGTTTAGATGGAAGTAGCATTTCACGGCACTTGCAACAGAATTAGGTGAGTGCAGAAGGTTAGAAGTGTTAGAAGAGAGTAAAGAAACACACTACAAGGAGGAGGAGAGATAAGAACGATGAATGATTGACAGGACAAAAGGAGGACGACACAGAACAGCGCCTGCCAACCACCCACTCAGACACAGTCTACAAAAGGCCACCGTTAACTCAGTTGGCATCACGCTGGACTGCGCTAGATGATGTCCCCGGTTCAAATCCCCAGTGGGACGTTTGGAACCTGGGTGGTTTTGGGGAGTTATTCCGTAAGAAACGTTAGCCTCTCGGACTCGTGACCGTCAGGTCATGGGTTCAAATCCCGTCAGAGACCCAAGGTTGTGTCCTTGAGTAAGGCACTTTACGCGAGTTTTCCTCACTTCACCCAGGTGGGAATGGGAACCCGGCTATAGACAGCGAAACATCTTGTCAGTTTGTTAGTGTTTGAGCGCCTATAACAGGCGACAACATATTTTAAAAAATACCCTACACGAATGAATTAAATACCCGGTAATTAAATTCAAATACAAATAAAATAAAATAGACTTTAAAATTATTACATTGTATGTATTCATAATGTCTTATTGTCCCATGCTAGCGATGAACTACCATTACCCCTATCCACCCCCATTGTATCTAGAACTTCCTGATTGTCTCACATACACAGGACGCCGACCGTGGAGATGGGGGCGTGATCATGTATACATTAAACACCCCCCCCCA